GGCGCGGCGCCTTCCCGGACGGGGCGTTTTGGGGGGGTGTTTTGCGTTAGCGCCACCTATGGGCTGGAGGTGCGCACGGCGGAGGGGCCGGGGCCAACTCTTAAATGATTAAGTGACTTTTTATTAAGTTGTGACCAATTCCTCAACGGACACAAATGGGGAAGGAAGGGGACAGCAGAAGAAAATAAGATTTCACCAATGTTACATTTACAGTGTATTTTGTTAATTTGAGAAAAACCGTGCATTTACACGGACGCACTGCAGCCCAAATGAAAACCGTAGTAGCATACAGCGACATATGGATTTTAACACCTATTAAATCTTAAATTTTAGGCTCCCTGGCAGCGCGCAGATATCTCTGCGCCTTGCTGCCTGCCTCGACAGGGTCGGGAGGGATTTCAAACCCTGCAGAAAGGTTCAGCTCGGACACGGCTAAGCCCTGCAGGGAGAGCACCGGGCAGGCAGCCGTCCGCTCCGCGCTTCTGGCAGCGAGTTTAAGGAGTTCGTCACCCAACATGATTTTTTGATTAAACCGTAAGTAGTGAAAAGAGGCCAGATAATCAACAGTTTGTACTTATGTTCACACCTACAAGATGCAATTATTAATTTTTTCTCACAGACGAAGTCCTGCCCATGTTGTCCATCGTCCAGCAGCAAAACTGGCCTTTACCAAGGCAGCCATGGAGGAGCTTCATTTCTTTACTGGATTTAGTTACCAATGTTTGCAAAAGGAGCTGAAAGAAGAGGTTATTACAATGCCTCTTTCACCATCATTTCTGAAACACAAATGCTACCTGAAGCTCTGAAGTTCCCGACGCGGTACCAATGCACCGAGCTGCCATTGCGTTAGTCACCCTATTTCCTGACATGGGATCAGCAGCTGTTTCTGCTATTTCAAAACAACTGCTGGGATTTCCACACCTTTTATTTTTTAAGTAAAAAAAAATTGTCGTTATTTCCTTCCTTGTATTGTAGATAAATCTGGTTGGTGGTTAACCATATTGCAGCATGGCCTAATCCACCTATATTAATTTACTTCACCCTGTGTTTAATTTTTATGCACTTATTTAGTACATGCATAGCAGATAAAATGACACCTATTTGCTCAAGTTGTTTGTCATTAATGTGATTTCCTATTACATTTTACTGTTTCATCCAAATTCAAGATGTGTTCATAAAGAAAATTAAGCAAATTTTTTTGGTTGAAATAGAAAACTTCATAGTATGATTTAGGAAGGGCTTTGATTTTTGTTAAAACTCTGCAAGAATAAAAAATAGTACACTTTTAGCTAGCAAAAAAAAAAAAATCAAGGACAGACCGACTCCTTATTTTAAAACAACTATGCCTTTACATTTAAATTTCTCTGACTCGGCAGACTGAGAATCACTTCCAATCCCCAAAAGTACAGTGCATTGCGCAAGGAACAGAGGGGAACCTCATGAGTCATGAAACACTTTATTTATTTTTGTTAGAGGCAAACACCTGGAATAATTATTTTTACAAACTCATCAATCCCACCTGAAAATGTCTTCTGTTGTTCTTACTTACAACTAAAAGAAACTTACATTTACTAAAAGAAACTTATGTTTACAAACTCTTTTAAAAATTTCCTTCAATTAATTTATCGCCCTTAAATTGGGCTCCCTTCTTCATCATTGTACACCATACTTTTAAACAATTATTTTTGATCAGATTTAGCTTTCCTAGTCCCATCTGATATATAGGCTTACAATTCTCTTCACCATTTTTGTTTCCTCTTTGTACCTGTTCATCTTAATTTTTCTTCAAGTGTATGATCAGAATTGTACAGCAACGCAGGTAAAAATTCCTTCACGCTTGTATAACAGTGTTAATATTTCCCAGAAATGCTTTTCTTTATTCACATCAGGATAACGTTCTTCTTTCTCACAACTCTATCAGGTGGTTAGCTCAATCATTCTAAGATCTGGGTCATCCATTCCCAAATAGTGACCTCCCAGCTTCTAGTAAAAACATCTGTAACCACCAGGGTTCACAGTCACAGATACTTACTTGTCTGATTTTACTGCAACTACAAAAAACTAGATCACTTAAACACCTTTGCTGATCTGGCCTTAAATACATGCATCTATTCATGAGTTTCAATCCACTCTTGGAAAATTGCATTCCGAATCACAGAACGGCTGCAGGACTTCTGCAGGCCATCTGGTTCAAATCCCTGCTCAAGCAGGGCCACCCAGAGCTGGTTGCCCAGGACCACATCCAGACGGCCTTTGAGTATCCAAAGAGGGAGACTCCACCACCTCTCTGGGCAACCGTTTCCAACTTGTTTCCTACGTTACCAGAAAGCCTCTGCAAGATATTATCTATATTTATAAAGAAAAGCATACATTTGAGAGCAGTAAAAAAGCAGTGGTAGTTTCACATTTACATTCTCTACGTTAAGCTATAGGTTTACTCTGCTGTTTCACGGGCTGAACTGTAACATTAGGGGACAGTTAGCACCAGCCCTTTGCCATTGTCTTTCCTCACACAAGAGGGTAACACCGCTGTTCTCGATACCACTGAACATACTACAGTCAGTGATGTCCACACAGAGTTTCTAGCACTGTATAACTGTAAAACAAGCAAAGATTTGTCTAGATTTGAATATAAAGTGGAAGAAGCATCCATCTGTCTTCACCATACCAGGTAACAACCGCTGTTTGGTACAAGTGGTCCTTGTACATTTTCAGATGCACAGTAAAGCTCTTTAACAAAATAAATTTTACAGTTCAAGATACTGCTAAGGTTTTCAATGTAACTAAATAGTATTTGCAACATATCAGTAAGCGGTTAAATTAACAGAAGGTCTTTGAAAAGTATGATACTGTCTATTTTAAGAAACAGAGCACGGTAACTACCGGCCTGAGAAAAGGTAAGGCATTTCATACTAGATTAACATTAGACATTTACATAAAATTGAAGATTAATTTAAAGATTCTCAGTATCATAAAATACCCAATTAAGGACGTTACCATTTCTGTCAGACTACTCAAAGAATTATCAAAAGTACAGACAAGTTAACTGCCTAATAAACCTTTTATATATACACACATACAGAAAACATTTTCATATCCCAATTATCCAGTGATGACATGAATCTTTTCTGTATTTTGTGATACTATTTTTTCGCTCTTACAAGTATTGCAAAAGATCCTGGGTGTAGCAAATGCAACTTTCAACAGATGGGAGGTAGCACTAAGCCTCCAAACACATTCACAATTTTTAAATGAAAAGTTATTGCTATACAATATAATGTGCACTTCCTTCCCTCCCTTTAAACATTCTTTCAGTTAGACAAGAGTTTTGGGGGTTTTTTAATTATTTTTTTACAAGAAAATAAGTGGCACAAAGTAATTGTTTAAACTGATGAACATTTGTCAAATCATAACTGACCTCATGGTATCAAGAAGTTACTCGGGCCTGAAAAAGTGCCTCCAAGATCTTCTTTAGCACAGCCTGTGCTAGAACTGAAGCTCTCAGAAGAACCTGGAGCAAACCAGTACCCCGAGTTTCACTCTCTGGACCCAAACGCTGGATGCGTCCATTACCAGCCATCGCTCTGGGGACAGCAGGGGAATGTAAAAGCAATAAACAAATTCAGGACATGCAAACCTCTCCAGAACCGAGTGTCAACTTGCAATTCCCAAGCTTACATTCCAAACTTATGTTGCCGCTTATGCTTTTCCAGAAGTTTTTTGGTAGGCAGCATCACATTACACTTCCCACACTTGTACTTTTTTGTGTGTGTTTTCACATGTTTTTGGAAAGCACTTTTATCTACTGTAGAAAATTTACATCTTCTGCATTGCAACTTTAAATGAGTCAGTAAGTGGCGCTTCAGGTGACTAGATGTGCGGAAAGCAAGAGCGCACTGACTGCACTTGAACGGCTTCTCCCCTGTATGAATTCTCAAGTGTGGCTTCAAGTTTCCATTGTGGGCTGTGGAATAGCCACACTCTTCACACGTGTATGTTTTGACAGGTAGCTGCTTTTGTTCGTAGAGACACACAGTAGATGAGCTTTCCTCACAAGAGTGTGAAGCCAGATGCTGTTTCAAGGACAGCCATTTGCTCGTTGAATAGTCACAGCTCCTGCACTTGAGATGCTCCATATTAAAATGCGTGACTCTGTGTCTTTTCAGGTGACTGGAAGTACGAAACTTCTTCTGACAAACACTGCAGCTGTAAGGTTTCTCACCTGTGTGAGTTCTTACATGTAGTTCAAGGTTGCTTAAAATGTAAGTAGAGTACTCACACTCTGCACACTGATAGAATCGTGGCTGACTTTGTGCTAGCAAATCATTTTCTTTGGCCCTCTGGACATCTGGCTGTACTCCACAGACTTCCGAACCAAGCAAGGAATGGACACTGCTTGAACCTTCCGAGGAACAAAAATCTCTTTCTGGACAGATGCCTACATGCATTTCATGATGCAATTCAAGATTCTCTAAATGGCTATCTACATAGAGGCTATGGCCAAACTCATATCCATTCTTTACGTGAATAAGGCTGTGTCTCTGCAAATGGTTTGATGTTTTAAATGTCTTATTGCATTCTTTACACACAAATGGTCTTTCATCTGTATGTACTTTTAGGTGCAGCTTAAAGTCACCATGAACAGCAGTAGCATAATTGCAGTGTCGGCACTTGTACATTTTGAATGTAGACAAATTGGAAGGCCATGTATCCTTTAAGTTTTCCACAAATTTATGATACGCATCATCATCTTGAACTTGTGAATGAGAGGCCTTGGAGTTGAAAAGTGGTTCCTCTTTGCAAATAACAGTGTCCATTTTGTATGAATTCAGAGGAACTTCTGAGCTAGTCCCAATAATAGGTAAGCTGTTGCTTCCATGGCTGTTTTCAGGGAATTTCTTTCCAGAGCACATTTTCTTATTGTCCCGCACATCACCTGCCCCCTCAGTGTCTACTTCTGAAGCCAGCATTCCCCCACTGAGACAATCATTGTCTTTACCAGAAAGAGACAGAGAAATACGGTCCTGGGAATCACTGTCAACTTTGCATATTTTGCTTTTATGATACCCATTGCTCTGATTCGTATAACCATTAGCAGTAGCCTTAAACTGTTCATGAAATTTCTTATGAAAGCCGAGATGTCCTCTAGTGTAGAACACTACGTTACACTCATCACACGTGTAATTCTTTAAAGGTCTTCGAGTTCTCTTTCTTCCACCTATGAAGTCGAGTTGCTGCCCTTGGCACGTTTCTTTGCCTGCATGTAATCTTCTGTGTCTCTTTAACCCAGCGGCACTTGTGAATGCTGACTGGCAGAACTCACAGGAATATGGTTTGGCCCCTGTGTGTATGTAGCTATGCCTTACCATGCTCGCAAAATATAATGAAAAAAAGGTGCAAAACCTGCACTGGTACAGCTTATACCCAGCGTGCCAGTACATGTGATTTAACAGATAGGATAAGCTAATGCAGGAGTAATCACATTGAGGACACTGGTAAGGTGGTTTCTCTTTATGTCCCTTCATGTGATGAATAAAAATCCTAGGATTTGATGAAGTGAAGAAACAAATTTTGCAGGAAAAACTAACTGGCACACCCAGAGGTGTAAAGTCCCTTTCAATTTTGATGAAAAATTTCTCATATTTACTTTCTTTTTTCTTGGTCTCAGATTTTCTTTCTTCAGATCTTCTCTGCCTAACTTTTCTCGCATTTATTCTATTTTTTCTTGCCTTTTGCAACTTAGTCATTTTCTTATGAAATTTAAGGTGATTCTTAAGGTTGACAGAAAAGAAAAAGGTTCTTTTACAAAAGCAGCATTTATGTATTTTCTTATCTTTATGAGCTGAATAAACATGTTTCTTTAGCTGTGCACTGCATTTATATACAGAACTACAAAACCTGCACTTCAAATTCAATCTTTCATGCTTATTTATAGAACAAGATGATTTAGAAAGAGGTTTGATGGTCACACTATTACTTAGCCATGCTAAACCTTCTTGCCGGCTTTCGAATTCTTTTGGGCTTGCATGAGAAACAACTTTTTGTTGCCGGTATCTTTTTTTAGGAAATGGTGTTAATGTCTTATAAATGTGCTCTCCAGTAGTATTTGATCCAGCAGAAGTGGAAGCGTTCATCTCTGGTTTCCCTACCTCTTTTAGCGATTCTTCTGAAGTAGGAGAACATCCATTAAGAAATGGAGCAGAACAATTATAGGTAAATTTCAGTTCTTCTTTCAAGCCATGTTCCAAAAGAGAACTCAGAGTTTCATCTTCAAATTTGCTTCTCTTTCTTTTTCTGTTATTAGCTTCATTATCTTCATTCTTTGAAGAATCAGGATCTACAGGGGGATAAAAAGTCACGTGCATGACATTTCATACAATCACCAATGTTCATGATTAATTGGTAGTAATAATCCCAAACTGTCTAACTACTTGCTTGCTCTTCACTCCTTTTGCTTGCTTAATATTTTCCTATTTCCACTTCTTTCCTAATGTCTCTCCCCATGTTTCCCCTGCCCAACATTTAAATAATGTTTTAAGAGAAGAAATCTTAGTTAGGAGTCTCCTTCTTTACAGTTCCTCTTTTCACTCAGAGCTCTGAACTTCACAGGACAGCACTGCATCCCCTACAGTTTTTAATGCAGGAGCTTTATGTCAGAATTCCTATGGAAGTAGTCACCGAACTTTGCTAGGGCTCCATTCTCACAAGTATGATGCTCCTTCTGCTGTCTTCTGTCTGTTAGAAGGGAAAATACTCTTAGTACTTCTCTACGCCTTTCTTCCTGAAGGACTTCCATCTGCTATAAGGAATGGTGGAGTTTAAACCTAAATTAGGCCTCTCCCAGTCTCTGCTTATATTGTTAAGAGTTACTGCCTGTTGGTTTTCTCTCCCCAGTACCTCTCATTGGGATAAAAAAAACTTTTAACCTAAGTTTTTATTTTCAGATCCTTTTCCCTAATGAAAGGCCACCCTTTTGGAAACTGCAGCAGAATGAAACAGTACCAATTTATTGTAGTTTCACTATTGTTCACAGGAGTCTGTGAAAGAACTAAGCATACTCCAGCCAATATTCTCTTCCTACTGCACACAATATTAATCTATGTTGAAATGCTTACTCTAAAATAAATGGGTTTGGCATTCTTCCTATACACATTCCTACCTATTTCAAAAACTTGAGATTTACCAGATTTCTTAAACTCTTGCACTAGTCTTATTAAGAAGTTACCTTCCATTTCAACAATTGTCTCCATGTCCTTGGGGATTTCTGGTTGTTTCTCTTGACTGCTAACAGCAAGAACACTTGCAACACTGACAAGTTCCTCTTCATGTTTGGATATCGCTGCCAATGTCAACTGCCTGCTTGTCTTGATGGTATCATCTCTACCCTCGTTGCTATCAGAGGAGAGGAGAGGAAGAATCTTCTGAAAGCCATCATCACCATCACATTCTTTTCTGTCACTGGTTTTGTTTATCTCTGTAAGCTCTGTTTTGCAAGACGATGTAGGCAACACATAATTTTGACTATATTTATCTGTGCCTGCATCATACCAATCACTTAAAGATGATTTTGATCTGTTACACACACTCTCAGCAACCCATTTTTCTTCAGAGTATTTCATGCTATTATCCGTATTTGAACCAGTCTTGTTTTCTTCCCAAATGCTTAAACTGTTACTGTCATTTGAAGGTGTCACATTGCTTTTTAGGAAAACGCCACTGTTTGAGTTAACCTCCTGCTCATCCTCCTCCTTCAACTTGGCAACCGACGCTGCTTCCTCCTCAGCGTCATCTTGGAGAAAATCGTCATCACTCAGCACGAAGACAGTGATTGGGAGAACAATTTCAAAGACATCCGACTCTGAGGACAGAAAAAGAGAGTATTAATACTATCTCCAAAGTACCTGAAGGAACCGCGGACCACCGACCCCCGCTGTGCCTGCGCGCCGGCCGGTGCGCATGCGCAAGCCCAGGCCGCCACCTCCCCGCCCACCCGCGGGATGGG